GGACAAGGTGCGTTCCTATAAGTCTTCCTACCAATATGACCAAGTTGCGAAAACAAGGTCAAACAACTTGGTTTATAAACTTTATAAACTCTTACAGTTTTTCTCTTTTATGTGGCCAAAGTGTGCAGTAATCCTCCAGGTACCGCAAGAGCACTGCCGGTTATAGCGGTGCCATCTTGAAGCTCTCTTCTATTTTGTTCATATATACGTTTTCCAAAAGTGGTGAGTGTGGCGATCCCATGGAAAGACGAAATATTTGTTCATGGATTTTCCCGTTGAATGTAAAATAGGTGGTCCTTATTGTCAAGTTGATTAGTCTTGTTAACGACTTCCTCCTGATCCGTTGTGATTCCATAATATCCTCCTGATGGTCCAGCATTTTCAGCAGGGCCTTTAGCGTATTTTCTTCAGAGATATTTGTATACATCAATTCCACATGGAAACTTACCAATAAGTCCCTTTCTTCCAGTGCCATGTTTTGGATTTCTTGAGAAACTCATATGAATGTTTCACCGTGTTTGATAGCCTCTCATTTAATTTCTTGAGTTTCAAACATATGAATTTTGCGAATTTGTGTGTTGCTCCATACTTGTTGTTGACTATCAGATTCACAAAAGTGGATATGCCTACCTTACTGCAAACTAACTTAAAAACTACGTCCATTATTGACTAAATGGAATATTCAGGTGCCATGAAAGAGAAATCAACACTTTCACAAGTCTACCTATGCAACATGAAAGAGTAGAAAAATTTGATTGTTCAGGAGTTTACTGCATATCATGCGGCGGCTGCGGACAGAAATATATTGGCGAAACAGCGAGAAAAATCAGCACACGAATCAAGGAACATCAGAGGCTCTGCAGGAAAATGGATACTGAAAGATCAGAACTAGCGGAACACATCGCACAGACTGGACACGAGATCAATGGTAAGGCAACAGAAAGGGTGGGATTTGGATAAGAGGGTAAAGAGTAGATAGATAGGCCAGAATAGAAAGGGGAGTGGTAGTGTAACCGTTTTCGGCAGAACGGTTGTCGAGGAATTGACTTCACTTGTCTCCTTGACGAATTCGTAGCTTGGTGCGGAGAATGGCAGGACTCACTGATGATGCCGACCACGATGCCGGAGAAGCGATTGAGAATGTACTAAGTCCACTGTCAGATGCTGGGAATCATGGCAACCACTATGTCAAACGACTTCGGGCTAGGTGCGTTCTACTAAGACGCCCTGACAACAAGAACACATTGCGACAACGGAGTCAACCCACTTCTTTACTAAGTCTTGCCTCCAAATGGAAATTATCATCCAAAGTGGACTGCAATCTTTACCTTGCCTACATCTTATCAGCCATTCCAACGATAAACAAACTTCATTCCACCCTGAATGAGAATCGCTTAAGGGAAAACTATGATGAAGAGATTCGTAGGTCAATCTCACCGGAAGACGTTGGCTGCTCCGTGTTGTGCTACAGCCGTTTGGCCTAAATACGACTTTTTGTTTGATGCAGTCCATGAGATATCCTCCAAAGTTTTGGCCGAAGAAAAGCTGGGCTTTTGTTGGTTGGAAGATGCCTCGTGGACTGCACTTAGCTAAAAGTCGTATTTAGAGAAAACGGTTGCAGTACAACTCGAACCAGCCAACGTCTTCCGGCGAGATTAACCTACGAATCTCTTTGTCATGTACTTCCATACGAAATGAAAGTCTTCACAGCCATCTTATCTCAGGAGATTATCCTAAATCCGCATTTGCTTCGTATATATAATGGAAGGCCATTGGCATCGTAAGGCTTACTCATCTCATTGTGGGAAAATTCACCATGAATCCTTCAGCACTCTACGCAACCCAAGGTGGCCAAACCTCTTATTGAAGATCACCTGATGGTCTCGAAATCTTGTCCAAAAGGAACAAAAGTTACGTTTCTGACGGTCATGGCAAATGTATGTTTGCTTCAACGACAATTTTGTATAAAACTTACAAATTAAACAATGGCATTTCTGTCTGTGTTTTCAGTCAATTCTAATAGACTTATCAGAGCCTGTAGCTGGGGCATAATATCGGCTTCTTCGCATACTCAATAATCAGTAATTACAGCAAGAATGATAGTACTAAGTTTCGAAATCACACGGCCTCTCATACACTGCTATTATCTTGTTTGATGGACTTCACTTTTCATCATGTCGGTTGAGTTGAAAACCTTTGATATATTAATTAATTAATTAGTATCCGAAAGGGAAAATGAGCGAAAATAGGGTGCTTTGTAGAGCCTAACTCAGGCCGCTAACCCATAACTTCGACTAATACGTTTTAAGCACCTTGCGTTGACTTTGACATTGATGTTTGCACAGCTGCCAATTAGGTGCCCACACATAAGACCTCCCTGCTTTAGTTTGCTTCAAAAGTTTTTACCGAAACATTTAGACTTTGTCAGCTAAAAGATTAGTCTGACCGGTTGAATATGAATTCTGTTTCCTGTACTTCTCTTTCGAATCGCGCCACTCCCAACAAAGTTCTAGTTCATTCGAACTAGCTTGTTCACTTTGTAGTAAATAAAACTTCTCTTGAGGAATCCGATTCAGGCAAACCATTATTTTTGGTACAATTGGACAAATTCAATCTAATGACCGGCTTAGATTGTGGTAGAAACATTTAGATGATAATTAAATTCGAAATGCATCCCGATAATCATTGCTCTGCCAAGGGTAAGGACAGTCTATATAGTTTCTATAATTGAGTGAAATTAAGCAAGTGTAGATGTCGTTTAGTGTTTACGTTATTTCTATAAGACAAACAACTTTCATCGAAATTACTTTGTCTGTATTCATTGTAATTTGTTTCTTGGCTCTCGGTTTATCTACCAGGTACCAACTTTTTCTCGGTAGCATCTGTATTTTATCATTCGGCTCAGCAACCGGTGAAATTGAATTTGGTTTTGCAATAATTGCCTTGTACTACCTTTGCTTGAAGTGTGATATTCGTATGCACATTGCAAGATATTGGAGCCTCACTATTCCAAGTGGAATTTATCATCTCTATGCCAAGTCACATACTTCAATATGGGAATGAAGCCACTATGGTGATGGCGTCTCATCCTCTAGCCTCTTAATCTGACATGCTATACAAAATAATTTTCTGTGTAAGTAGGTTATAATAATAACATGCTTTCTAACAAGATCATTAATTTTACACCATTTAGTGAGAATACAAAGAGAGGTGTCAAACCAAAAGCAATGCACAGGTCTGGTATCTATTTCTATATATTATAAAACTTGTTACATTTAGAAAGAAAATATAACTTAATACAAAGTAAAGCTGCATTTGTAAGAATTCATTAATGAAGTGATGTTGGATTTTACTTTTATTTTGGTTTCCGATAAATCTTCCATCCACCTCTTTAATAGAAATGAGAGGTTCGTCAACAATAATATAACTGATTACCAAAAATATTGACCAACTCGGAGGCCCTGAAAAAATAACAGTATTTGCTCATTAATAAAAACCATCAAAGACGAATTAATTTATAAAACAGGCCTTGCTTAAATCGCACAAGAGAAAAAGCCCGAGCGA